GGCAGGGATGGGTGGAGTGGGTGGCTATATTTATGAGGAAAACAGACGGATTCAGATGGTGAGTGGGTGAGGAAAAGAGATAAAGCGAGGGAAAAAGACAGAGAGATAAAGTTCCACTCTCTTTAATCCAGGAAATAGAAGAGCTGTACATCAATTCATCTTCTGGGGACTACGTCCCTTAGACCAAGATTAGACAGCAAAGAGGTTGACTTGACCGACAAAAGGTGTGGAATTTTCAAGGGGCTAAAAAATAGCCCCACTTCACCTTACTTACCGTGCAACTTGCACTGGGCCTGGATACGAGACTTCTTGTAATGTGACTAGATCTTATCTGAGTTTGTTCAAAACTCCGCGGTGCTATACTGCAGTCTTGTAAATTCTGATTGGCCAGTTCAGAAGGCAAGGCCGGTCTAGTGATGGTACGGAAAAGCTGTTCACCATCTTCTGTCTGTATTCTGTTTTCTGACTGGGTTCCCTGTTCAAAACGCAAAGGGAGTAACGGCTGTGTACTGTTATTTCCAACTGAGTGCTCAGAATTGTTTCTTTCACTACTGAAATCTGCAGGTGGAGAAACTCGCTGTCGGTTGGACGAGTAAGCAGCTGTCCTCGCAAGCATGTCTTCCAGAGAGACTGTGGGGACAGGTGGGAGGAGCCTGTGCTGTGAAAGGGGCGGGGCTATCACTGAGGAGGGCGTGGCGAGTTCAGGCGTTGATCTAGAGCTCAGCTGATCAGGAGAGACACTGCTGGAAACGGAAGACGTGGATGTTGACAAGAAGTATGGCGGGGACTTGTTTGTGGATGTGTTGTCAGAGACCTTGTGACTAGAAGGGTTGTCGTGATTGGCTGCTGAGGTGCCGGTAGTTCTTGCTTTTCTCTCGGCACGAACTGTTTCTATGATGCTCTCTAGGGCGATCACTCGCGGCAAGCTGGAGATTCCTCCGCTGATGTAGCAGTTGTCCCTGATAGGAATAGATAACATACACGTCATGATAACTGCTACAGTCGGCCTTGTGATAAAACCAAATAACCCCAGAGAGGTACATTTTACAGGAGAAGAAAAAACCGTTTCATTTAAGAACAACGGTGTCTAAGGTTAAATCGCTGCTTTAAACTCCTCTAAAAACTCGTTTACCGAAAAACTGTAGGTATTTTTTACCCTTAAAAATCATTTTTAATGAAACTGTCTGGGCTGGACGGTTCTGTCGCTCATTTATTCCCGGATATAACCGACCAATTCACAAAATTGAGGGTTGTTCGGTTTTATTAGGAAGCTACTGCTGGTTTTGAGTGCTGCCAAGCCGCACTTGCAGGTAAGGTAGCTTATTTGATCTGTAGTTTCAATCGTCATTATCTTTTGTGTTACTGCTGCTGCTGCTG